ATAATAATAATAATAATAATAATAATAATAATAATAATAATAATAATAATAACAATAATAATAATAGTAATAATAACAATAATGATGAACGACGTTATACAAGGCGTACTATATGTGTCTGATCTTATAGTATACGAGAGGTGTATTTGCAATGAAAATATGAATAATTTTTAGTATTAGTTCAATTTATAATGTCGTATGTTTAGTGGTTTGTGAAGTTATATTACACAGATAGTCAGAATATTATGTGATATTACGATGTTACAAGTGTACAGTTGTAGCGTTAAGAAATAAACAAATAAATGAAAGAAATGAAAAACAAAAACATAAAGTAAAGTGTGTAACAAGTACGTAGTAAATTGTTGGCAATAAAACCAGCGGGGACTTACTGGGATCGTTAATCACTGGACCATAGTCGACCGGTACCGACGCTCTGTTAGTATTGATAGCAATATTTTCGTTCGTTTTGGCGGAATTTCGGTCACAACATACGTACAGGAAGCCGCCACAGGTGCTCTCAATGAAGCCGGATGCCATCCAGCAAGTTAACAAAAATTCGCAGCTTCCTGACGAACATAAGCTATTGCGTTTGTTGTCTACGTCCAAGTCAGTCCATTCATCTGCGAACATCATCCATCGTCTTCACCAGATCATTTATATTTGAGACGCGTCTACGTGCCCAGTATGTCTCAGTTTTAACGTGGTCACATAATATTATATATTATGGTCTTTGTTATTTTAATTCTAATATTATAACCTATTGTTTTTTTTTTATGTTGTACTTATTCAAATCGGACTTTTTAATTTCATCGTCTTTTTACATAACAATGAGTTTGAACGTTGGTGAAAGAAACGATCATCGGAACGTATATCGACAACACGTTCGTACGCTTCGATTATTATATACTGTTATTCACGTATGTATAGTTGCAGTAAGTACCTAATTATTTAATTTTTTTTTTTAATTTTGTATTTTCGTCCGTATTCATGTCACGCTCTCGATACGTCCAATGTTATTAAAATATAGGTGTGTGTGTGTGTGTGTGTGTGTGTGTGTGTTCGTGCGTTTATGTGAGTATTTTGTGTGCGTTTTATGTCAAAAAATTTTCAAATGTTACTCAATATGTCTGCAGGAAGCTATATATTATTATTATGTTAACCGTGCAAATACTATCAGTTCTTAAAATTATTATTAAAATCTATATGGTAATATGGTAGCCGATGGTAATATACCTACCATATATATATATACTACCGATCAATGTAATGGTATATGCCAAATTATACATTATACTCTTACATTCTATACACAGCTACAATGCAGTTATTCGTTTAGAGAAAACTAGAAATGCCAGCAACTACTGCCGTAAATCATCATAATCAATTACGACTACGAGAGTGTGGTCGACATTAATTAATTTAAAAAGTACTTAAACTGCTTATAAAGTATAACTACTTAAAATACTAAATTTAATGTACTGGCTACTGCAGGGGACGACACGATGGATCCATAAGGTTAAATATCCTAATAGTTTTCAAGACCTAACGGAGTTATTTAGTTTATTATTAGTTTATTACACATACGCACACACACACACGCACACACAAACCAATTTAAATCCTACCGCTTTTGAAATCACTTACACGAAATCAAATAGGTATGTTGTACAAGAACACAGTTGATTAGGGTGTTGGCTATTTAACGATTTCATTCCCCTTACTACACAATAAAACAGATAATATCCCGTTTATCATAAATTATCAGCTTGAGATTTCGACCTTAAATACACGAGTAGTCCCCTGAGACATTATTACCTACACCCACCGACTAACTACTTACACGAGAGTTTCAGATTCGACAACGATAACCAGAGTTGTTTTGGGAGGTGATTGAAACGGAGGGTTAGGTTTAGTAATAATTGATTACACAAATTTATATTAGATGATGTTTTTAGTTTTAAGAACACGTTTAATCAATAACGAAGTACTGTTTCATAGAATTAAAAGTCCTTGTCGTATAATTTTCTTGCAAAATAATAGTATTGATTCTTACCATTACACATTACCTAATTGTAACGATTATTTTTTATTTCATAATTTTAAGTCGACCATAAAATATCGATCGCGAAACTTTGTTTTGAATGTAATCCATAACAACCGTTACGTTTACGTGAATATCGATGAAGTAAAAATGATGAAATTAAGATGTTCCAGCGAGCGCGACATCGAGTAAGACCCCAAAATTAGATCGCCGGTAAAAAAATCTTCTCGAAAACATATCGCCGCGACGACGAAGATAATATCATGTGTTTCCTGGCACGGAGACTCTTAGTGTAAACTCGTCTGGTTCATCGTGTCAACCTCAAGTATTTGCCGTCGCACCGATGACAATAACAATAATAATAATGATAATAATTATAAGTCAGCCTCATGTAACCAGTGTGTGACCGTACTCGGATGTGTGTAGCGGAGAGCGGTTGTACAGTACGTGTGTGTAACCCTCGATTGTTCGTGTTTCGAATAAACAACTATTATTATTACCATTATTATTATTATTACTATTATTTTTATTATTATTATTGTAAGGATTGTTCGGGTGGATCGCAGCCGCCGGGACGGTATCATTGACACTTGTAAAAAAAGAACCAAGAATCCCAAGGTCGTCGAACTCCCACCCGGTCAAGGCACCGGTCGCGCGCGCCACCCCGTGCACCGACTGGTTTGTCGGGCGGAATGCTAGTAGGAGGGGGTGGGGTGTTGGAAACGGTGGTCCGATCACCGGTTAGTCCGTCCGCGCCGAAGGATGACACCGACGGTCGGCGGTCGAATAATCATACACATTTCGCCATCGCGCACACTCGTCCCGGTTACACGACCGAACCCTGTGCGCGGGACGCGAGTTTCCACGGATCCCTGGTCGCGGTCCAAACGGGGACGATCATCCGCGGCCATGGGATCCGGCGGGCGTGCGCCGGACGTGGACGAGAAATCGCGTACAGCGTGCAGGAGGGACGGAGGAGGGATGGACGACGGGACGCGACGACATCGCTTTCGCGGACGATCGCGCGCGCGCGCCCCGACGAGTCGCGAGCGAAAGCGATAACTACGTCGCGTGCGCAATCGAACCTGTCACGACGGGCGCAACGGGTACGTTATTATCGTTAATGTTGCGCTCGGCCGGTTAACGTTCGTTCCCGGAGGACGTTCGTCACGACTTCCATCGGCCAACGTACGCACGGGAAGTCGGTGTACCGGCGATCACGTACCGGGCGGACGGACGCGGCCGGTGGGACGACGAGTACGCGGTCCGGCCGTTGCGCAACCGGCTCCGGGAACACGGGTGTGCGAACGGGTAACACGCCGCGCGAAAACCCGTCGCGTCGGCGCCGCCGTTAACGGGACAAACCGGTGAGCCGCACAGCGACCGGGTGCTTTCGTATAACGTTATAATTGTTGTCGTACCATTACATTACCCGGTAAGTCGTCTCTCTGCGTACCGTGTTTACCGTCTCGTGCGCAATACGCCTTACGGCTGCGGTTCGCGGAAGCAAACGTGTTTTTTTTTTTTTTTTTTTCCCTTAATTTGTTTTCCTCTCTCCCCCCCCCCTTTTTTTTTTTTTGTCTTAAAATCTACATCGTTATATTTATTATTCCGTCATTCACGCACATACCGTATGTAGTACATCGTGCGTACGTCCCGTAATACGTTCGTAATAAACAAATCGCGATCACGACAGTAATTATTTTTTATCCGGACGTCGTTGTATCGTTACGACGTTTCATGTCGTATGCGCCGCAACGATACACGGCGTTGCAGACGTACGCTCGACGTATACCGTACGGACGTACGTGACGCGCGCCCGACCCGCCCCGTGCAAACACTGACCTTTGGCGTCGTCGGGTTGCGAGACCAAGAGGTCCTGGAGTCCGTTGGGCCCGCCGCCGAACGGCGCTTGCAACGTGCCCTGGTCCACGGGGTCGCGGAACACGAGCCTGGGGCTCCGAGGTCCCATAGCGGGCGGCGGGGGTGGTGGTTGGACCGGGTACTGGGGCAGGTAGCTGAACGGCTGTTGTTGGGCCTGCAACGGTGGCGGCAGTCCGGGTCCCGCGATGGCTGGCGACCACGGGTTGTTGTTGATGTTGTTGTTGTTGTTGTTGTTGGTGCCGATGATGTTGTTGTAGGCGGGTGGCGGCGCGTCGTGCGTGGGCGGGAATCGGAGGTACCGGCGCCGAAACTCGGCCGACCGGTCCCAAGCCGTGGCCGCGGCTCGTTTGTGATGGTACGGGTCCGCGGCGTATCTGTACCGCCGGCGTCTGTTGTGCTGCTGCTGCAGGTCGGCGGCCAGCGACTGTCCGTACGGCTGCGGCTGGTGCACGTTAACGTTGTGGTGGTAACGGTACGGTCGGATCATGCCGTTCGGGTACGCGGCCGCGGACCGCCGGTACCGCTTGTACCGGAACAACTGCTTGTACGTGGACGACTCGGCCGCCTCGTCGGACGCGGCCGCTACGGGTCCGGTCGCTGCGCTTACGGAACGCCGGAACCTCTTGCGCCGGTAAGACTGCTTGGACGCGGCCGCGGCCACCAGTTCTGCGTACAGCTCGCGGTGCCGCGATGACTTGGTGGCCATCTTGAAAAGTCTGTTGTCGTGGTTGCGCTTGTTGCGCCGTGGCTTGTTCTTGGCCTGCAGCAGGCATATCTTGCACATGGCCGCTGTGGCGCCGGCGGACGACGAATTGCCCGCGGACGGCGCCAGTTCCGTGGCCGCCGTGACGTTCTTCAGCGGCTCGTCCACGTACTGCCAGTCTTCTACGTGCTCGTCGAACTTACTTGGCTTGGCCACCGACGTTGCTGCTGCGGACGTCTCGTTGCCCGACGGTACAGCGTCAGCCCAAGGTGAGGACGTCGATGACGACGACAGGTCGGAAGCGGACGCGGTCGTCGCGATCGACGTGCCGTTGTCATTGTTGTTGTTATTGTCGAGCTCTTCGGAACCGACGCACCGGTCGGCGGACCACAGCAACACGGTTGCCAGAACTAGCAAACATCTGAAAAAACCGCGCGATATTGTAGTCACGGTGCGTACCACGAAACACAAATGTTGTTACAGTAGTTGAGCTGGTGTCAACAACGATATCACATTTGAAACGTTATGAATGTTTACTATGACATGCACATTTACCTGAGACGGTAGCATCTCGACGACATGCTGACCACCATGACGCGAATCGTGTGCGATAACAGACAGATTTTCAAACGTAACGCGTAGATGCTAAGAGGCGCTGGCCATTTATTCAAAATATAATACAATTGCAAGAACGATTTACCGGTCGAGAAATGAGAGAGAGAAAAAAAAGAACGAATTATTAATCGGAAAAATATCAGATACGAGAACGGATGTGATTATTATTTTTGAGACTCTGTTGCCGGGCTCGAAATTGAATCGAAGGCGCGGCGATCGGGTTCGTGGGCGACGGGCTACGCGCGAACCGCAGAAGACCGATCGGCGAAGGAGGCGGAGGAAGACGACGACGGCGAACTGTGTCTGCGGGCCGGCATGACGGCGCGAGCGGACGGATCGGACTAACGCGTTCGGTTATCAAACTTGCGGCGGCTGCCCCGGAGAGGACTGTCGTCGTCGTCGTCGTCGTCGCGCGTCCGACCGGACTCCCACCACCGAGGTGCCACCGCCACCGTTGCCCCGTGCGTTGAGTGGCGGTGGTGGCAGCGTCGGCGGCGTCAGCGGCGGCGGCGGTGGCGGTGGCGGTGATAGTGTGGCAGTGGCGATGGAAAAAATAAAAAAAACAATAATAACGGAAAATAAAGAAAGAAGAAAAAAACATGGACGCACCGCAGGAATAGGAAGAAAAGGAAGAAGACGAAGGAGAGAAAGAAGAGGAGGAATAGGAATGGAAGTAGGAGGATACTGTACGAAGTCGGCGGCGGCCGAGACGAAGAGAACGTTACTCATACACGCGCGCGCACACACACACACACAAGTGAAAACCACTTTCATTTGTTGTAAACTTTCTTTTGCAAGGTCAACCGAGGACCGGCATTGAAAAACCCAACGCCGCCGATCCTACCATCATCTCCTTCCCCCCACCGCCACCAAACTTCTCCTGTTGTGTTACCATCAGTAACCACGTGTGTGTGTGTGTGTGTGTGTGTTTACGAGCGCGCGTGCGTGTGTGTACAATTCATCGCCGCCGCCGTCGGTTACGACACACGGCCGCGGACCGGTGCAAGTATACTATAACGCGCGCGCACGCCGCAAACACTTTCACTGCACGCGGGTGTACGCGCGACGTGTATTCAAATATATAATAATGGTCGGTGCAACAACGCGCGTTGGATCAATAACAAATAATAATAAATCGCCCGTACCGCACTCCTGTCTTCGCAACGGAACCGGCACTTTTACCGACGACGTAATTTTTTATTTTTATTTTTTAATTTTTTTTCTCATCGCTTTCCGTGTTATCGCGTAATCTCCCGCTTGATCGTGTCATTATTATTACAAATAAGGTACCGCGGTGTAGGACGATTCTTCTGAGCGTCGTCGAGGATACGGAGGATTTCGTCTGTTTTATCAAACAAAATCGTATGCAAACGTGTGTGTACCGTTTCGTTATTTCCAAAATATGATCTTATCGTTATCCCCGCACTGATTCGATTTCGAATCACCAAGATGGTCGAGTAGTCGATGCGTTGAGGGCTATTAAATATTTTATCCGCACCCGGATTATTCTTAAGTCTCTGGAGTCGAGAATATTCGTATAATAGTGATTTGACGTACCGAGTACGTACTAAGTCTCAGGAGTCAGTACGTACTCGGCACGTCGAATCACGATTATTTTGTTAGATTAACTCAGTACGAATCGCAAACATAGATCCTTGAGCGCCATGTTCTGCGATTCGAGTCCGGAGACGCGTGCTGCAGGTCGTAAGACGATGATCATCGATCCGTGGATACATACGTCAATGTGCTTTTACAAATCATATACGGCACACGGATCGGAAGGAATATGTGATGTGTACGACGAAAACGAACGGAACTGTAAATTTAACGTTGAAGGACAAATATCATCGTTTCAGTGTCGCATTGTACCGACTAATGGATGGTTCGTTAAAAAATTTTAATCGTGATTCGGGAACACAGTACGGGTCTCGCTACAGGATCTCGTACGGTAGTAACGATTTTTGATCACGCTGGAAAGGAGCTTAGTCACATTCGACCTTGCTCGGACACGTAATTTATGCGTGTAGGACCGTTGTTAAACGTGTATTGTTATCACTGTACCCAAGTGTACGATCGCGTATTGTGAGGTGTACAATGCACACGATAATAATGTATTGTAAACGGAAGACGCGCGCAGTCGGTGTCGTCGCGCGAACCGCAGCCACCGTGTTAGGCGCACACGAACCGAACACCTTCGCACGTGTCATCCGACGCCGATGTATTCTGGTAAATAATACTATTGTTACCGTCATCGTTATACCTATCGGTTGTCCGGCGATCCAACATAGCGTCGTCGGTGAAGATCTGGAGCTACGTGGCTTGAATGGACATTTTTCAAATTTTTTAAAACACCCTCTTTGAGAACGGATAACAAAATTTGTTTCTGGTTATCGTACTACGTACGTCAGTTCGTACGCGTGCGGGATAACATTTTTTCTTTTTTTTTATAATCGAGTATTTTAAAAGAAGTAAATAGGAAATTTAACCTCCTCTACAATTTAATCGGATATCCGACGTTCAGGAGCCGCCGTGTCATCGATCGAACTGCGATGACATTCAAATGTTATAGTTTTAATTTTTTTAATTCCAAACCTAAACCGAAACAAACAACAGATTTAATGTACTACAGTAAAAGACATTTTCTTTCGGGTATAATTATTTTCACACGCATTTCACCGTACAAAAACAGTCCGAACCCGTATGAACCGTATGACAGACGAATAAAAAATAAATATTCACACGAAATAAAAACGATTTGTAAAGAAAAAAAATGCAGTAAACGGCAAAATGTACAGCAAATGATTGACCGAAGATCTCTAAAATCAAATACGTGACTCTGGAGAATACTAAAGATTAACTGTGCCTGCTGTTGCAATATGTTCAATTGATTTTACAACCGTCCAGTGGTACAACTATCCTAAAAATCGACTGTTGTACCCCGAAACGATTGAGTCCGCACCACGTGCGTGTTTATTACAATTATATGTATGCATAAATGTGCAAGGCTGGGCAAGTTAAAGATTTTTTTTTAACTCATTGAGTTAAGTTATTTTAAAATAATAAAGTTAAGCTAAATTAATAGTTACTTATATTTTTTTCATTGACTCGTTAAGTAAAAAGTTAGCTTTGAAAAAAAAGTGGCTTAACTTAGCTTAAAGTTAAAATTTTCTAATTTGCAAAAATAAAAATTGCACACATAATATTAGTTTTTTAACGCTCAAGGAAATTACTGGGGAAATTTAAAATGATACTTAAAGTATTAACTAGCTATCAAAAATCCAAAAATCAAAAATAATAAACTTTCACAGAAATATAATAAGCTAATAAAGTAATAAACTAATAACAATATACTATAAATTCTAATGAGATGTGAACAGAACACATGCTAGTTGAATAATGAAATTAAATTGGAAATTATACCATATTTGTTTTGTGATTAATCCCCCATCGACACTCGCTCTCATGGTATTTACTATTTTCACAGAATATTCTTAGGATTCCATGGGTTTATAGTGTTTATACAATAACAATGTTATAAAAATATAATGATAAAATACAACCCATATAATGACTATTAAAGTTATTTTTCATATTATTTTCGTCTACAGGAAATTCATATTAAAATAGTAAATAATAAATATACTAAAAACCTCATTTAATAATACGCATTATTCTTTACATTAAAACTAACTTAATTTAGCTACTTTTAAATAAAATGAACTTAAAGTAAACAAAAACAAAATCAATCGATAATTATTATTTTTTTTTTTTTTTTTTTTAACTCGTAATATCAAAAGATCAATTCACTGTATTCCAATACGTATGTGCACGTATTGCTTACAAGTTTTAACGAAATAATTAAAGATTTTTCGATAAGTGAAAATGCGTTTTCACGTGAAACTGCACCGTCGATCCGGCGTTTCCGTTAGTCTGTCGGACCGTCGAGAATCCGCTGTACTTTGTGCGTCGCGATCATCCGATATAATTGTTTCGTCGAGGAACCACGGTTGACGACCATAGACGCAAGGGGAGCGCAATAGGGTTTTTAGCACCTCTGAATTCAAATTTAGCACTCCTGTTTTTTTTTTTTTTTTTTCATATCTGTATAATCCATAGTAATCACAGTCGAATACCATTCGATTTTATTTTCAACAATTTCAGCAGCCCCAATGCTTGGGCTCTAGTCGCGCACATGCGGTTAACGACCGTTTTCGTCGCGGCCGAATAATGAAAGTCTGCGACGATATTAGCGTGTACGTACGAACTGCGGCCGTCGTTCTCGCGTTCGCAAACGTGCGTTTTACACCGGTAGAAAGTTGTTGTTCGTATACGCAGGACCGAGTCGCCCACGCGATCCGCAGCACGCGACGCCGCGTGTTTCGTAAACGTTATTGTTGGAACTGCACTTATCCAACAACAATAATTTTAACGCGCGGGCGCAATACGTTCGGATCGCTTGGCGAAGCTCTTGTTTTTGTTTTTTTTATAATTTGATTTTTTCCAAACTCTCGTACCGTTGCGTTTGGATCGCAATGCGCGTGAACTGCGAGTGTCACGAACGATCTTCAATAACTTTTAGGGATTCTACCGTTTTGTTGTCAAATCGTCCGCGCGCTTCTCTTGGACGTCTTTTGCCGCCTTGACAATTCACTCGCCGTACGCACACGGCACTACGGCAAAACATTATTGTTCGGGCGACCGTGAGAAATAGTAATTAAACGTAACCGTTCGCCGACTTGGAACCGCAAACTCCGCGGGTACATCTCTGCTCGCGCGTAATGCAAAACCAACCGCACGTATTGTTTACACGTGCGCGTACGCACCACGATGTCGAGTCTGTTTTTACGCCATTTTTCCGTTTACAGGTGTGCACCAGGCTGATGTCGAGCGGATGACAACGGATCGTACTGTGGTTTTCTTCAAATCTCCGGTGCGCGCGCATTAAACTGTGTACATACGAAAAATGTATGGACGGATTGAACAGAAAATAAAAAAAAAATAATAATAAGAAAGCGTGAACCGCTCGAAAATTAAATAACGTGTAGACTGAGAAGAACATCCGATCAAAATTGCCTGCATGCTTACTGAATTGAAAACAAAAACAATTGAATTCGCTAAGCGTTTACGTAGCGGTTTAAAACGTGTATTTTTATAGTAATAAAGCGAACATTTTAATGTATCTTTTCCGTTATCTGTGCAACAGTTGTACGGCACGAACTCAAGACCGAATTTTGTTTTTCATACAATACATTATATTACAGACGAGCAAAAAAGGATCCGGTATAAGTAGAGACATTGTAGTAGTATAATATATTCGACAGATTCAATTAGTTCTTACGGAGATTTTCCAAATACTTTGAAATAACATTTCTATCGGAAGTTACATTACCTACTACGTG